CCATCAGAGAGCTGATGTCATAGTGAGAGAGATGGGCCACCAACAAATAAATACATTAGAAAAAAGTACATAGTGCAGGAGCTTTACAGAGACTTCAGGAGATGAGATGAAGTGGGGGTGAAACACCATGCTGTGAGGGTAAAACCCAGCCTGCCGCCTGCTTTTGTAAATAAAGTTTTATTGACACACAGCCACACTCCTTCACTGACACATCATCAATGGCTGCTTTCACATTCTGATGGCAGAGTTGAGTAGTTATAACAAAGGTCATCTGGAACAAAAGGCCTAACATATTTACTCTCTGAACCTTGTAGAGAACATTTGTTTTCCAATCTGTGGTAAAGAACAAGACGGGATGGCGCTGTTAAAAAGGGTGTTCATAAACACTTCTCAAGGAAGTGTTCAAGGCAATCTGACACTATTGAGTGTTACCTTTTCAGACCATCACATGGAAACGGTATGCATCAGCTGGTTCTTTTTTTTTTTTTTTTTGAGGTAGAATCTCACTCTGTCACCCAAGCTGTGGTGCAATGGCGCCATCTCGGCTCATTGCAACCTCCGCCTTCTGGGTTCAAGCAATTCTCCTGCTTTATCCTCCTGAGTAGCTGGGATTACAGGCACGCACCAACACGCCTGGCTAATTTTTGTAATTTTAGTACAGATGGGGTTTCTCCATGTTGGCCAGGCTGGTCTCAAACTCCTGACCTTGTGATCCGCCCGCCTCACACTCCCAAAGTGCTGGGATTACAGGCATGAGCCACTGTGCCCGGCCCAACCAGTCCCTTTTCAGGAGGCATTTCAAGGAATCCCTGTGCAAACTTTTGTGTATATCACAAAGTACACACCCCATATGGCAACCCGACTTCTCTCTGCAAAATGCCTAGTTAGTGGTCAAGGAAGATCTTTTTATTCTACCATGTAGAATCTCCCTACCTGAAAAGCTTTGTGAATTCCCACCCCGGGGTTTAATCACCTAGAAATGAAACAATGATGCATAGAATTCAGAGTCAAGAGAATTCATTGGAGACACTGTACCTCTTGGGGTTCTTTTAAAAGCATCAGCACAGTTGATATCCATGGTGTTATTTCCAGCTTCCAGAAAAGCATTCTCCCTTGTTTCATTGCACCTCTTGGTTTCATAAACTGAAAACATTAAGAAAGTCAGTCCTGTTCTCAAGCCTCATGCCTAAATAATTTGCTAAAGAACTCCCTTCTCTGGAAGACCGCCTATTGGTGATTCCATCTCCCCTGTGCAAGGTTGGCCACATGGCACTTTCTTCCCACCTTTGGCTGGTAGAA